GCAGACAAATTCCACCAATAGTTCATACAAATCCTCGGTAGGGTCAACTTCATCTCCAAGTATTCTGAACGCATCTTTGCCTTTGGGATTTTCAGACAAAACTTTCCAGGCTTTTCTTTTTCCTTTACCATAGAAGGAACTGACAGAGTCGCAACCTGTGAACGCATGGAACCCAACAATCAAGTTACATGTCTCGCTGCCTACTTTGTCACACACTTCGTTCACTGAAATGATCCTTGATTGATTCTGATTTCCGGTGATGAAGTGTAGATCGGCACTGAAATTCTGTTTCATCGCGACCATAAGAAGAAACACATCAGTATCTGGACTTTTGATAGCCACAACGGAAAAATCATTGTCGGATGCGTGTTTTGCATGAAGCAGCAAACGGGTATCTGCTTCTTCGTGATCACACTCTAGCTCTACGACTTCTATTGTCTCAACAATTGTAGATTGACTTGTGGGAGAAATTTTGAAGCACTTATCTCCCCGTGTAGTGTACAAAATCAATCCCGTCAAATCATCTGACTTTAAGTCTTTCCAACAGTCGATCAGAAAAGAGATGATAGCTTCTTTGTTTTTACCACTGTTGAGATACTTCTTCCATTGCGTAGGCGTTGGCTGACTCTTTCCATATATATTAATTAGAGTGCTTCCTTGGGCAGCTCTTCTACTTCTCTCGTTAGCCTTAATGCTATGATCTGGGTAACGGTCTGCAACAAAGTCTATCCGTGAAGCTTTGTGAAACCCCGCAAGGGACAACAACCGTGATAAAACGTGAGCAGCTAGTTCACCAAAAGTCTTGGGAATTCTTGTCAGACTTTGTAGTAACGCCATTGCATCCACCATTATAGCACTGTTGCGGGGAAGAAAATTATTTACGCATTCCGGTGACATTTCTTCCAGCATGTGCATCAAATTTGCCTTTACAGTTTTCGTTGGGTTACCATCTACAGTAGCAAGACTCAAAGGATACGGACCGAGCGAATAGCTTAAGACAATTTTCATGTCCACATCTCTGCTCTTCGCAAGAAGCAACAGACGAGCGCAAAGGTTTCTCGAGCTTTTCAAAGAAACTTCTTTACCTTTCGAAGTGGCTGTCTTTGTTGGTTTTTGAGAAGAAGAAAAGGTCTGAAGTTTTGTCTTCTTTATTGTATCAAATAGATCTGGTGTATCACTAAGGAGGTTTTCTCCAACAAATTGCATGAAGCGTTTTTCTCCAAGAGACTTTGCACAAAGTAGATCATGTTGAACGGCACATGGCGCTATGACACCGCTCGCGAGATGAATGAGGTTTGTCTGTTCCTTCTCAAACGGGTTCACCATGCTTTCAATCGTGCTGATGACGCTTTTGACTTCTTTTTCATAATTTTGTTTGTGGGTTTCATCTAAGTTCTTACGTTGCCTACGAGAACCATTAAAAAGCATCGTTAAATTAAGGAACAAAATAATTAAAAAACAATGAAGAACATTTACCAGACAAAAAATTCTGAACATCCGATTGCACTGAAATGCACTTTTAAAAAACATTTAGTTTTTCCTAATTTAAATGCTTTATACCTTTCATTATCAACAGCACCAGCCATTATTTGACACTGCCCGTGTGATGCGGACCGTTCTGACTGGGAAAGTATCCACCTATTAACAGCTCCTTTGTTAAGGGTGAAGCCAATCAATCCTCCTTTTGTTTTGGAATCTCTGTTCGCTGTCTGCTCTATGGCTTGGTCACAAGCGATGGAAGAGAAACCATACCGCTGTTGTCTCTGAACTGTCCAATGTCGTTTCAGGTTTTCAGCTGCACCTAATCAAGAATAAATGCACAACACACAATATAGGGTGTTTTCATTTGACGTCACAGCAGCCATCTTGGTGTCTTACTTCAAACTTCCGACGTTCAACAGAGCGAATAATGAATGTTTTTTTTTTGTTTTTTTTTGTTTAGTACTTGGACACCAGATATGGGATTAACAGTACATAAAAATACCCTATTAGATCAAATTGTAGAACTCAGTCCGACTACAAAATGCATAATATATGGTTGTATTTGGCCGAATGGAAACTAGGATTAACACTTCATTATAATTCTTTCTTACTTGGGTGTGTTTCTTCCAAAGCATTCATCTCAAGCCAGTAGACTGATGCATATCTTGAGTAGTTAACTCTATCAGCGGCAAAAAACCATGGAAGCATCGATCTCAGTGTTGACAAATGAAGGAACCAATCACTTTCTCTTGTTGCGCGGATAAACTTCATCATCAAACCTTTGCAAAAAATAAAAGTCTGACTAACAACTCAAGTAGCATAGATAATATACCTCGTATACTGAAGCTCTAGTGATTCTTTGCACTGACAGGTGGGAACTAGTTTAGATAATTATAACTGTGTATGTATTTACTACGTTATGCAGAGTCCCTGTGATAGTTGTGTACCTGAAATATCAATGTAAGAACTCCAGAGTGAGAACGTTGGACATGTTTGCTTTTGTGCTTCAATGAACACGCCATACTGCGTCATGATATCATGAAAAGCTGGTCTTGCAAGCAGATTTTCGAAGTCATGACCTGGAAACGAATCTTTCAGTATTGATATTTGATCTTCTACATCTTTACGTTCCTCTGGAGACAGCGAATCCATGAACACCTGGAATCTAATTCTTTCCAATGCCTCATGCATTATTTTGTGACATCGGGTGCTTCCGTTGTAAAACTTGCCGCTCATCACTCCGTTTACAGATCCTGTACCAACAACGCCCGATTCAATCAATATGTCCTAAACAAACAAGTATAGATTAATTTGGGAGTGTACAATTTGGTGACACATTCTCTATACAAAAATGTCTGAAACGCTGACCGCCTTGAAGCATTGGATGTATGCTTTTCTAGTGTCTTCCTGGTGTAATAGGGAAACGCACACTGTCAATTTTTTGCACGAAAAGTAAAAAAAAAATATAATATATCCTTTTTTTGTTCTATCATAACAAAAATTATTTACCTGAAGACCTGCATCTCTGAAAAGCTTGCCAATTGCACCACAAAATGACATTATTGCGTGGAAATCCCCCATACGAATTATAAATTTCTCCATAAACTCTGGGTTCTTCCATCTGATATGCTGTGCTTTGGAGTAGATTGCCTCGTCAAATACTAACACCATGTAATCCATCCCTAACTGTGACGCGATATCTTTACTCTTACTCAAAACGGTGTGCACGGTAGAGTACTCTGTTGGCGAGGCATCAATAACTGGCAAATAACCAATCTTTGAAACACGTGGGATTTTGTCTTCAGCTAACAATGTGTTGAACCCCGTCCAATCTGGTAAGCAACCTCCATAATGCATTTTGATAAGAGAGTACGCAAAATCGCATTTTTCAGCAAACTGTTGCACGGCGACGTATACTTTTTCTTCTAGGTCGGACGAGCAGCAGATGGATTTCAGGTTAGGAGACTTCTTTTTGCCAATGACGTAGGGCAGAATTTCGGAGTGAGGCGCAGGTAGAGATTTCGCTTGACTTTTTGGAACATTCACGTTGGGAATGACATCGTCTTCTCTTTCTTCCTGTATTGCTATTCCATTTGTGATGTGTGTAGAGACCTTTGCTTCTTCTCCAAAATCATCGTTATCCCAGACTAAGATGGTGTGTCGATTTGGAAAAATTTCTTTGGGCACAGAGTTCCCCGTCTTTATACCGTATTCATCTTTGCCAGCGCCGTGTCATGTCGCAACGTACTAGAATGGGATGCACAATGTCCAAACCCGTTCAAGATATCTATGATGCTTGAACAACCAGATATTTGTCGAACAGCCATGCTGAGTGCAACAGATTTTGGTGTAGGCTTCCGTCCGTTATGGGTGATATAAATCATATCCTGTGCAACCGAAAGTATTTTTCTCTCTTCACTCTTTTGCAACCGTACAAAACTATCGAGAGTAGGTTCGTCTGATTTATTCATGACCCAAGCGATAAAATTAAATAGAACAATTGGAGTGATATCTTTCGCTGCATCATTGGAAATGTCTACCGAGGTTGGTGGCCAAACTCTTGGGAACGTTGCAGTTTCTTGTATACAAGATCGCAATAGTATAGCTATCTCGTACAACTTTACAATTTCATCATTTCTTTGCGAAACCTCTTGAGGCATCTCTCCAGTCATTTCTTCGTCGTCAGGTTCCAAATCTGATGCCGACTCACAATTTACACTTTCAAATTTCATTTTCTCTAGCACTTCACCGGTTTCGATATATTCACAGTAAACAAGCTCACTTTTGTTTTGTCGACTGAGCGAGAAAAATACTAACTGTGGATAGTCTCGTTGCAACTTAATTTTCAGTTTGGATGTACGATAGATTGATTCACTTGCTTGTTCCTTCGACAGATAAGACAGAAATTTGTCACATAACTTAGTTAAGTAGTAAACCTTGTGTTTCCCCAATATTTTATCCTCAATTACTTCTTTGCAAAACAGGTTGTAAGATCGCTCATGTACATTTTCAGCTTTAGCTCGTGCATCATTCGACAGGAATTTAGTGTAAGTATGATAACATCTAAAATAGTAAATAGGAAGTGAATAACAGAATTAATGAGTTTGTAACATATATCGCATACACATCCTAATAGAAAATTAACTTTATGGAATATATGTAATATACATGTATTTTTTTTAATTAATACGTTTTCTTTCACATCGACCTGCTGTTACTTTAAATTAATTTTAATACGTCGTTTTATCACCACAGGTCACTACACAAGTGTTAATTAGCCTTGTACTTCATATTTTAAAATTACCTATTATGATATTTAACTTCTATTGCCACACAATCTTTCCCACGAATGTGAATCAAAATTGCTTCGTCTTTCTTTCTTTCAGCAGCTTCCCGAAGACGGCCACAGTCGATTGTTTCAGCTTGGTGCATTTTGTCTCGGGTAGTTTTCCTGGATTTCTAATAACATTTGCGCAAAACAAATATTTATGATGCACAGTCAAGCTAGAAAGCCTAGCTAGATAGGCCTAGTACTATAAACTGAAAAAAACCCAGTAAAAAGTGGCGAGAAACTTACCTTGTCCCTGATATAAGATGTTTTCCTTTTACAAATAATGCAGACATCTGGAAGCACATTTTGGTTTGAACCTTGTTGTCCTGACACTCGACTCCGTCGTTTTGGTTTTGGCGATTGAGGTTCCTCAACTTCTTCGCGGGATTTTTCTTTCTCCGCATCATAATTGACTACCTTTTGTTGTTGTCGAGCTCTTTTAATTTTCGAAATGTCCGTGAATGAATTATAACATTTTTGATGAAAAAAATATTGCTCACAATTTTCAGAGCTTTCGTCTTGACGGCAGACTTGAAGCGAATTTCTCGCTATTACCAAAGCAGCTTCTTCAAACTGAAGCCATTCCTCACGACGACACAGAAAGGTTTCAAACCTTTTTTTAGAAAATGCACACAAACTATCCTTTGTTCCGGCAAAATGAATCAAACATTCATTGTTGTTTTTCTTGTTGAGTGCCAACATTTTTTTGTGTTTTTTAAATTATAAATTTTCGCGGGAAAAGCAGCTAGCCTGCATCCAGCCCGAATTTTCCCTTATTTCGGGCGGAACCGTGTGGAAAAAGACTGGAGAGAGTAAATTTTGCTAAATACCATCACTCAGAATTCCATTATTCAAGATGGCGGCCAAAATATTAAGCTTCGATTTCGAAGACTTTGGATAAAGATTTCTCGAGAATGGGCAGGTATTTCTCTTGGGAACTTTTTTTGGTAATCAATTACATGTATATCTACATATAAAAAGATAGAAGAGGTATTTCCTAGATGGGGGTCACGAAACTGTTTTTTAAAGCCATTTTTCACATTACAGCCCACGGCCTAATACTTGCAGAAACAAATTCGAAGCACAAAAATTAACTCCGGCAAATTTTGACACAAAAACTAATTTGAATCAGTTTCAATCCATTAAAAACTTGTCATGCCACGGTTACCTTTGTAAAATACGTTTGACTACTTCAATCGTCTTTCAAAACCGGCCGAAAAAGCGTTTTCTTTTGACAAAAAAATATTTTTCAAACACGTTGATTCAACACCGCGGAAAAACGTCTGCCCATGCGTCAACCTTACCTGTAATAGTATTGCGAACTTGATGAGAAGCTGTTCCGAACGTTTCCGAAGGCTCAAAATGGCGGTAAAAAGGAGTGACTTCATTGTGCGTCTTTACAGCCAGATTTCGAGCGCAAAAATAAACATGTCATTCTAAAAACTAGGAATAAATACAGCCAGAAGGTTCAAGAAATTGTATTGTACAAGAACATGAACTAAAGGTGATTGTTGACAAATTTATCGTCTGAAACATTTTGTTTATCAACTAAGCAACGACAATTTCCGAATTTTCGTTTGAGATACATTTCTTTAAAAAAAACTGTGTCGCCAAATATAAAAAATTTTCGTGTTCACAATAATTAAACTTTAGGATTTATTCTACAATTTGAGTGGGTTAAGAAGCTTAACTTTTCCAGAGTTTTCTTAACTTTTGAGTTTGAATTTTTGTTTTGAATAATTTTGCAAAAATTTTCGAAGTCGTGTCCGTTAAAATCAACAATTTTTTACATGAATTATATTTCATTCCATACTTTAAATGCCAGGACGCTTTCAATTAATGTCTAGTCTACCCATTTGCTATATTTTCTCGTTTGTTTTACTAATTTTTGACCAATTAATAAGCATGTTTTTGTTTTAGAAATTGATATTCAAATTCCCCGCCATATTTTCATAATTTGGTGCATGCGCAGATGTTTTTCCGCGGTGTTCGTTGATTCCATAATGATAATGTACAGCATACGCATGCGTGAATTATTAATTATATGGAATCAACGTGTTTGAAAAAGAACTGATCTTTCAAGTTTGTTTTTTTTGTCAAAACAATTCTGATTCAAATGACGAAACTCGTCTGATTCAAATTTGTTTTTGTGTCAAAATTTGCTGGAACTAATTTTTGTGCTTCGAATTTGTTTCTGCAAGTATATGTTTTCGATATATTATATTGAAGTAAATGTGTTTTAGGTGCATCAAAAGTTTGCTATGGATATAAAGTAATTTGTGTGCAATCATCTTTTTAATTGTACTTGGAAGATTGGTTTAGTGCTGGATTGAAAATCGCCACTTCTTGACTGGACATTGCTATCTTGCAACATCGTGGCACACGCGGACATGTTTTTAATAATACTACGTACAGGAGTATGCGGCAATAACAAAATTAATAACGCTTGAAATCTAGGACTTCGGAAGAAACTAGGACGTTGAAAGAAACTTGTGATGATCTGATGGACATTTATAATTGTCGCCGTTGAGATTTTCCCCGAGCCGACGGCGCGAAGCGCCGTGTGCGAGGGTACTAATTCCCCCCCGACTATTTACACCTGGGGAAACGAAAGCATTAGCCAAGTCTAAAGTTCATCAATGAGCGCGGGCGTCGGCCACCAACGATGTTGAGTGGGTGGTCATTCTCACTGATCTAAAAAATATGGCTGATGCTTGTAGGAGTGGGATGAGCAAGATTTCAATTTTAAAAGACATATATTTCGGAAAATCGTTTCATAAACAACAAGCTTGAAGCAAATTTGTTTGAGGAAATTAGAAGAATTGATTTACTATGGGAAATCGTGATATATACGGCAAGTTTGCTTTGAATATTTAATGTTTAATACGTATGTTTATGAATTTTGTTGCTTTAAACTTTTTGCCTAACAACATGAACTGTTTTCCTTTTCAACGAAGCTCTAAGTTTCATTACCGTTCAATTTGAGAAAAAATCTTAAAATGTAAAGGAGAGCAAATTGATTTGAAGACTGAACTGAAATTACCTAACAATTTGTTTTATTTGGAACTGATGATGTTTTATTATTAAATTTATATCGGCAAATGAACTATAGTTGAATGAACATTTCAAAACATTTTACGAAGCGTTTCAAGTTAAATTTTACATTATAAATCAAAGCTCACAAAATGTCAAATAATATACCTACAGTTTATATTTCGGAAATTTATTTTTGTATAGTTAAAAGTACGAATCTTTCAACTATTTTGCAGTTTTGTACAAAAAATATAAAAAAATTTAAAAATTAAGAATATCGTGTTGTCCTGGCAACACTTGAGCGCGAGCCTGCGTTCAGAGGGCCATTTCTGAATACTTCATGTTAATTTAAAGTTTGGAAAATATTGGCGAGGGGTTACGGCATGCAAGTATTTCTAGTTAAATATTAAATCACACGAGAGTGTGGACAAAGGACATTGGCATTGCTTTTTAGCAAGGTAGGCTCGTTTATATTAAAACATAAGAAACGTTTTTGTTCAAACTGACAGGGCCGCTGTTTGTCTTCACATCCACTGACTCTGCTTTTGTATTGTTTGATATCAACAAAAAATCGTAAATCTTTTTGCCCGCACTATTATTAAAGTGCATGTACATACGAGCGCTACAAAATATAGTTCACGATTTAAAAAAAATACTAACTCAAAGAAGCGAGTTACGTGTAACGTTGGATTGAAATGTCTTTTATTCGTATCTTTTTGCATATTATACGAAGTTTTTCCACCAACTGCATATGAACAAGTATAAATGCAAGATTAAATTTATAGTTTGTAGTTTGAAATTTATAGTTTGAAATTTATAGTTTGAAATTTATAGTTTGTATCCGGTACCTGTCTTCGAATCTGTACGTTGGACTTCTCAAAAGCATTTGCATTTGCATTTTAAGCATCTTACTTCAAAAATTGATAAATATGGGCATACATCCTGTCCTTATTAATTGGATTGCCAACTTTCTCACAGACAGACAACAGCGTACAAGAATCAGCCCGAATTATTCTTGTTGGAGGCCAATCAATGGTGGTGTCCCACAGGGAACCAAACTTGGCCACTTGCTCTTTTTAATTATGGTGATCGACCTGAAGGTCTCTGACGATTCTGTTAAATTCGTAGACGACACTACTTTATGGGAAATAATTACGAGCGCTCAATCGTCTGCTTCAGTCTTACCGGCATAAATTAGTGAATGCTCCTGTTGGGTGGCCAAAAACAATATGAAATTGAATCCCACTAAAACCAAGGAAATTCGAGTATGCTTTTCGACTTATGATACCGAAGCACTTCCTCCACTTACCATTGATGGCTGTAACATTTCTATCGTGTCACATGCTAAATTACTCGGATTAATCATCTCCGAAGACCTCAAGTGGGTTCTTCATGTTTATTTCATTTGTAATAAAGCTGCGAAGCGTCTGCATGCACTACGATTATTAAAGAGATCTTCCATTCCATCAAGCAAGTTAGTGTGAGTGTTTAATACATGCATTAGACCAATTTTAGAATACTCGTGCGAAGTATGGCATTAGAGTTTGCCCCAGTATTTAAGTGATCAGATCGAAAAGCTCCAACGCAGAGCCCTACGAATAATCTTCCCAGATTGTTGTTATGATATTGCAATGGACCGCGCCGGTGTGGTGTCATTATTCATACGGAGAGAGACGATCTGTAAGAGATTTTTTTGAACGAATGCGTACTGACGAAGCACACAAGTTACATTCCCTTGTCCCTTCCAATCTGGATACAGAATATTCCCTTCAGGGTGGTAATAACAAACTATCAATACCTAGGTGTAGAACTAATAGATATGCAAACAGTTTCATAATTGCTGGAAGTAAAGCTTTTAACATTAGTAAAACTTAATATAATTAACCATGTAATTATTACTATAATAATTCTTAATCTGATTGTATTTTGTATTTTAATCCTTTTAATCTTGTAAACCGATGTGATTCAGTCCTTGACTGCTAAATCGGTATTTTTAATAAATATATCTAATAAATATATCTAATATATATTATGTTAAAAACGTTTCAGAGTTTTTATATACGCACCTGTATAAAAGTGATAGTCTTCGCACTTTTCTTCTTTACATTTTAGTACACTTTCGTTTTAAAAAAAGTATTTTAAATCTTTTTAAAAAGATTTTCCACAATATTTGTCTTTTTCGTATTTTCGCATTTTTTTTTTAAACTTGTCTTAAACTTTCAATCCCCCCCCCCCCCGGATTTGTGAAAGCACACGTCAGTTTGTTTATTTTTTTGAGCAATCAGATTCGCTCCTCAAACCGCATTCTTCATCCCGCATCGTCCCACGAAATTTCTCGGCAAATAAGCAAAAGTTTTGTACATTTTTGTACATTTTTATTTGCTTTTTAAAATACTTTATATGGAATAATATTGTTCGAGTATCGAAGTTTCTTTGTGATAATTTATTTGAGGTTTTCTTGTTGTTTTCACACGAAATTTTGTCGGCAAATTTCGTACGTAACTATGTGTGCATCGTTGAAATAGTTTCCTTCCTTCTCAATAACTATAACTTAAGGTGGCTCCCTACAGTTGACTAGAAGTGAAAAAACGATTGTAAAATGGAAACACGATAATTCTAAAAGTGGAAACACTCGCATCGCGCGGAATCGTCGAATCGAAAAAAAATGA